TGGTTTGGGGTGTTTTTATGTTGGATGTTGTTTGGAATCCCTTCGAAAAAAACCTGTTGAACTTTTATTAACAACCTGTAATGAATGAGGAGCACTGGGAACTATCCTCACCTCAGACCCTCGCGGTTAAACTCATGAATTTGGGAGCGCAGTTCAACCGCAGTATCAAAATATATATATTGGTTAATATTGTAAAGAAATGATTACAATTAATAAAACACATCAAATCATCCTTTTGTCAACGATACATCAAATCACCCTGGAGCTGGGGATTTTGCACTAAGCTTTTTAAAATGATTGTAACCTTCTTCGTTTCACTCGGTGATAAAACCCCATCCCCTCTCTCCCTCAAAGGCAAAGGTAAAGGTAATTTTTTTTTACTTCGATAACGCGGGGAGTGGTTGCCCAAATCTTCCGAGCCTAGGGCTCATGTTTAATACGCTCGAAGGTGCGCCCTCTACCCCCTCTAACTATCAGTGCTCCTTTTTACGGGTATTTAAAGCTAATTAAAGCTACACAGAACAGAGAGAAGTTAGCTCTGAAGGCCGCGCACTAACCAACAGAGCTACGCCTCCTCACAATAATTAACGTACCCAAAGGAATGCTTTTCAAAGCACTTTTAAAAAAGGTCGTATAGAGCGTTTTCACTCACGTGAGAAGGCAGCCATATTAGTGTACCAAACAATAGAAACTTTCTGCACAGTTTTTGCATAAAAATAGAGTTCAATTCCCGGAGGATAGAAAATGTATTGTTTTAATACACCAACATGGCCGCTGAGACGTCACGTGAAAACGCTCTATAGTTTCTGTCATAATTCGATTCGCTTCGGTCGCGTGAAGGTAACTGCATTGTTAATGATRATCATGATAAACTTTATTTAAACAAACTAACGTACTGTATAATCATGAAAAATCATGGACCGAGTATTAGCTCACGCGGGAGACAATAGAGGTCGACTTGGAGCAAGCTTAGGATTTTGGGAAAATCTAAGGCTGCTCCCTCTTTCCGTGTTTTGAGTATTACACTTAAAACCCTGCATCACGGTACAGCAAGTAGAAGGAGCGTGGCGAGCACCCTCGGGAATGGTGGGAACAGGTGAAGAGGGTATTCGGCCATATATAGTCTATATGGTGATGTTCTGCTGGATAGGGTATGGCTTATCAGGATTTTGGTCTTAGACATGTTATACTATTTCCGTGTTGATGTCTTCAAGAGGTTCATCCGTCTCAGATACTATAAGCGCTGCCTAGCGTTTTTCAAAATRGTAGGGAATGCATTAAAACCATGGGTCGTTTGCTCAAAAACGACTGAAAATTAGCAATTCGCAATTTGGTGTCGGAAGTAAACATTTTTTGGAGGATATATAAATTTGGATATTTCGTTTTAGTAAAAATTTGTTTGCAATGTTTGGTACCATTTTTTTCCAATTTTGAATTTCTTTTCAATCTACTCACCTTGTCAGTATATATAGTTTGGTGGTGTTATCTGGTCTTTGTTCATTACAGCTGTTTCCTGCCTTGCAGTTTCTACTGTCTTTTGCCTCTAGTGTTTTCATGCAAAGCTTTTAATTCTTATTCACATAAAATTGTTATGTTATTGGCTAACCACTATAAGCCGGGGAGAAAATTGCTACTAAGATGGGAAGCCG